GGATAGGGATAAAAGAGGTGGCCACAAGGCCATGTGCACCTCTAACCTGATCTATTGTATTTCTCTAATTTTATAAATTACTTGCTAGCTTCAGGTTGTTAATCAACCTCCATAGCATTGGCAGTGGCTCCTTAGTGTAAACTCTTATTTGCGGCTTTTTTCCCAAGTTGCAAGAATGTATAATTACATAGACCCTCACAGAAACATAACACGTGTTCCGCGGTTTCCTTTTCTTCCTGGTATGTGCACAGTGGCTACACTGGAGATCAACCAGAATACTGGTTCTGTTACGGTTACCCTCCACGAATTCCTTTTTAAGTCTTGCGGATTGCCTTTCTTTGAATCTCTTCGCGTGCCTCATTCCTGGCGTATTGTTCCGCCAGGTTTATTTTCTTTAAGTATCCATTTTTGTATGTATCCTTTTTTGTGGCAAGGTTCTATGCCACAATAGGGTTTAGACCTAGAGAATTCCTATTGGCTCCTCTTTTCGGTCTACATATCCACCCTCTCATCGCCTCAATGTCCTGAATGCCCAGGGTTGCATGGGGAGTCAGGTCATTGGTGTCATTGACTACACATGAGGCTATGGCCTGAATGTGCCAACTTCCTGCAATGTGTTCTTAGCATTTTAATTTTTCTGACGCAGTGTTCAATTGCTATAATTTCCGACTGGAAAACTATAGCATACCTACCTAAGTTTAAAGTCAGTTCGGTGTTCGGATTCATCCCGCGGACTCCAATTCCCGTGTCTCTACCCGTTTTTTAGCAGTCCGTATATCAGTGGGAATCGGCCTTCAGAGATATTCCTATCGGCCACATTTCCCTTTCTGGCATGAGTAATATGTACTTGTTGGTAAAGTTTTCAATAATTAAAATGATTCAAGCCAAAAAGTGTTTATGATCTTCCTAGTTCATGTCGTCCCATTAAACTCCTTTCTTGCCAAAATTCTAGAAAAATTCCTTCTCCGAATATTATTGGCCATGATTGAATATTCTAATCGAGTCTGCCACTCGGGCTTACTTTGGAAACTGAACAACATCCTCTCTCATGCGTACTGTCTCACAATAAGATCATTTCTAAATCCGTCAGTGAATTGAATTCTTACATTATGTACGCATTAAGCTGGGCGCATACTAATTCAGTGGCGCGGCGCGGCGCGGAACCGACCCCCAAGAAGAATACATTGAAATGAATGTAACACCGCACACTAGGACGGTAGGGCGGCGCGGCGCGGAGCCGGAGGAAGTTGCCAGACTTCTGGAACCCGGCTCCGCGCTGCGCCGCGCTTCCGGCCTAGTGTGCGCCGGGGCGGTCGGAAATTCTTGAGTTCGGGTATATTAGGCTGCCCTCGGACGCCATATTTGTCAAGACGAAGCCAACTATTGTGAAGTGGGGACTCCTGGAAATGCAAAATCAACGCTAAACCGCAGGGCTATTCAGATGGAGGGGGAAAATTCACCAACGCGGCCGAGAGAGGTTCCTGCATAGTGTGCGGACCTTCAAATTCCGCTTCGCGCCGCCCCACCGACCTAGTGTGCGCCCAGCTTTAGAGCGGGTGTTTCTCAGGGAAAGATACTTAACTCATTTCTATTTTCAGTATACACTACAGGTTTTCCTACACATGTTAACATTGCACGTCATACATTCGCTGATGATAGAGCGATTTTAACACCTAATTCGGAACCATCCATAAAGACTCAACACTAACAACACACGAATGAATAAACAGCATGGTTCACAAAGTGGAGAATGAAAATAAACCTAACAAAATGGTACAGATAAATTTTATCCTGGGTAAAAGTATCTGGTGAGTACTGACTTGGAATCTTCCTACAAACATGATAAGACCAAATACAAACAGACGTGAAGGATTGAACATGAATTGATGTTTTAGGTTTTTAGAGAATTTTCCGAAAATATAAATTTTCAACGAATTGAAACGTTGACATTTAGAATGTCATCCTCGTTGATTTATTTTTACGATTCCATTTAAGCCATTAATTTAATATTGCTTTAACAAGCCCTAAAGATAGATATCGTCTCATTGGCATATTTTAATTTAAATAACAGTCCGTGACACGTTTTATGCGGGGTCGCTAAATTGAAAATGTAATCCAAGTGTAATTAGTTTTCACACTATATGACGGATGGGATAATGGAAACTATGAATTGTAATTCAATGCCAGTTGACGGAGCGGACGAAGTAGACGGACTTCATTCGGCATGAAGTCAATTAAGAAAATTTGAATCGTGTTTAATTACGTCGAAAGCTTTCTGTTCAGTGTTTCAAACGAGAAGAGAAGTGAAAGGGCAAAAGGAAAGCGGAACATGTCGGCAATAAAATAACTTTAACTGTAACTTTTGGTCAGTTGCCTTTCAAGAATCAACAGTAGACTTTCGTCTCGTCCTTTTTTCACGTTCTTTGTCAAAGCGAATTGACTCGAAGTGAAAGTATCAGTTTGTACTGTTTGTTGTGTTTCCGATTGATGTTAGGCAGTGTTGATGAATAAAGGCTTAAAAACGAAAATATAATCTTTTTATATGGATTAAACGGAATTTATTTACTATTTTTTTGTTATTATTAAGTGGTTTCTAAAGTGACGCAGGCACTACCACGACATATGTGAAGATAGGCAGACCCAAATGATCGGCAACGACTAAATTATCGCCCAAAAATTTGTGTACCGACATATTTTCACTTTTCTCTTTTATTGATTTTTACATCTGTAAAATAATTACAACAGTAAAAATGCTGTTAGACCGCAACATTTGATATGAAAAACATGTCAGGAATCAGTGAGTATAAATAAATAATGACTTTACTTTTTCAATATTACTACGTAGAATATTACGTTGCCATCGGCGTTTCAGTCGATGGGAAATATTATCTGAGATGGCAGTGGAACTGAGCTGACGGGCCAAGGCATTTCGGATATGTGGAAAGGGATTGATGGAATTTTTTGTAATAGGGTTTTGCTACTTATGGAACAAAGGAAATACTAAGATCTTGGTTTGACAAATAAAAAGTAGGATTAACTATTTTTCTTATGACTTTTGATTGGAATTGGTTCACTCCCCTCCCTCTAAGAAATACAAGTCCACATAGGTTTGAAAACGATGGTGTAATCTTTTGTAGTTAAGTGGAAATTTGAATCGTCTGTCGAGTAGTGCTGATAACGGTTTTTTTTATGTCTGTTTAGTTTTAGTTGTTCAGTTAGGGTATTTAGTTTTATGTGGGTTCCAACCAACTAGTTTGACCCGTTCAGTACATGTTAGACTGGGCGTAGTGAAATCCGTTTCAACTAAACAGGTGGTAGTGTAACTTGAGTGTGAAGTTAATGTATTGCTTCTCTGTTGAATTCATCTTAATTCTCCATTTTTTCGACCGAACGTCGAAGCATAGACAGACAATGGTTTTGAAAGTTTCTGTATGCGATGACTGTATCTTTATGCGGAGGAAGAACAGATTTCAACTCACTTTTTAAATAATTCTATGAAATACGTTAGACAATTTAACTTGGCTCATGCCAATAGGCCCTAAAAGCTGGGAAAAAATGTTTTTAGTGATTTAATTGTTTATGATATGGATTTTTTTCTTTGTTATACTTGTATATCAAGATTATTATAACGCGAGAGATCATTTCTTTCCTAGAATAGTAAAATATTATGCAGGTTCAATGAGAGAACAGTGGTCAGGTTAAATGTGTGATAACTAATTGGACTACATAATGAACCATCGATCTTTACACATCACTCATAAATCCATTACAATTCGTGGTCCGCTGGAATAATTAACTTTTTTTCAATTAATTAATCTTTATGAAAGGTATTGGTTTTGAGATAAAAAAAGTCAGCGTCACGAGCGGGATTCGAACCCAGGACCTTCGGCTAAATACGCCGCTGCTCTACCACTTGAGCTATCGTGACATCAATCCACTCGGAGACCAACGTCCCATCTCAACCCCACCTCTTGAATTTTCCCTTCTTTTTGCCATTTTTCAATGTTGTGTAATCTATTTAATTCTTACTATTTGATACTATCTATTCGATTGATCTGTTTGATTTTACTTCAGTCGATATTAGTCCATTAAAATGATTTGCTTCAATATTAAATTTTTTAGCAATATTAAATTAACAGCCTGGTTGAGAAATTGAGTAGAAATATAAAAAAAATAATAAATATGTTTATTTGCAGATCGTGAGATGCGGTCTGGTGTGACGTAGATTTTAGAGAAATATTTTCTTTTTCAGCCAACGTTTCGATCTTTATTGAGATCATCTTCAGTGCCTCGGATTTATAAATATTGTTTAAATTGTACCATATATGTTTTTATATATTTTCAATTTTCCCAAAAATTTGTTCATTAACTTTTTGCTTTTAAATGGTGACTTATACATGATAAAGAAACATATAAAAAAATCACTCCAGGGTTACATAAAAAAATAAAATAACACTATCAATAAAAAATATTTGTATTTAACAGACATAGCAGATGTGTAATCAAGTTCTATATAGTTAAGAGTTATTCTCGCACATAAACATATTATGTGTATATATGAGTGTGTGTTTATAAATCCGTGAAGATGATCTCAATAAAGATGGAAACGTTAGCACGATAAAGAAAATGTTTTTTCTAAAACGTACGTCACACCAGACTGCATCTCACGATCTCCTAATAAACATTAACTAACCGTCACTATACACCACACAAAAATAAATACGTTCTAAATGAAATATAAAAATATTGGAAAATTGTTTTCAAAAACAATAAAACGAAGAAGATAAATACATCAAAAAATAGAAAATATAACGGAAATAGTTTTTAATATACTTTTGATTGATTCCATTGAATAAACAGTTTAATTTAAAAAAATCCTGCCTTTTAATTGGAATATAAAGATCGATTAAATCGACCGGTTTAACTCAATTTAACAGTCCACTTCAGTTTCCGTGCCATTTAACGCAGATAGAGGGAAAAAAAATTATAATTGAAAATACCTGTAAATCGGCGATGGTAAGCCTTCTTTGTACCAGATTACTAGGTGGACTCTGTCGGCTTTGGCCGGGGGCGTTATGTCGCATGGTAGTTTCGCTACTCCGCCTGCCACCGCTTCCACGTTGCTCGTCATGACTGTGGACAAAAAGAAAATCAATTAACAAAGGGGTAAAAAATTAACTTTTACAAATTTGAAAGACCCCGTCCGACAATCAGTCTCACATATTTGTGAAGACGTTAATGGTGTGAAAAATAAATAAAACTTTTTGTTTTATGGGCAGCAATCATTGTGTAAGAAGAAAAGATATGACAAGTAGGGGCCTTGAAATTAACTGAAATACCTCTTGAAAATATCAAATCTACGCCATTTTTTTTACATCTTGCGTGGTTGGTTTGATGTCATGAGAGAGTAATGTTGTGTCAAACTTGTCTAAATTATTTAATGAGTGCCGGGTATAATGAATTTTGTGAGATTTCTTCTTATGGGTCCAAGAAAATCAATGCCGAGGAATAACACAGCTGACTCAAAATTCACACAACGACAGCATTCATATTCAAACAAGTTAAAAACAGTACCACTAACTACATAGACCAAAGTATTAAGTACAAACAATATGAATAACAACCAACGCGAACCGGCCGTCTGACTGAAAAAAAAATAATAAAAAATGGCCTTCTGTACCGAAATAAAGGGACCGATTAACAATAGGCCATGCGAGGTTGACACGCGGACGTTTAATTATGGCAGAATTATATTAACCGATATGAGGATCCACTGTTCTGATTTTGTTGGAAATAAGGCTGTTTTATTGTGTAGATATCTCCTTTTGTCCATACTGAGATTGAATGTATTTATAAGCGTGAATATATAATTCGAAAGAGCCAAAGGTTCACACAATGGTAGTCTTCGTACAAAAATCAGTCTGCGTACTGAATGTCGACGATCGTGATGTCCTCACAGTCTTTCTCGACCTTCTTCCTGAAGCCGTCGCGACGGTCAAAGGCCGTGGTGTTGGTGTTCGAGACAGTGATGGTGCCGACCTTGCCCTTAGTCTTAGACACCCTTAGTACTCGAGAATATCGAATACTCCAGCAGTAAGAAAAAATGTAAGATTGAATGAGAGTGTATCTGGCTTTAAATGTTTGCGTTAGGGCTGAAATTATCTAGCTGCCGACAACCCCTGGTGCATTCGGCGATTATGTCAACCGATATGAGCATATCGTGCTTGAGCGAAACCTGTAGTCTTTGGATCCACTGTTCTAATTTCAGTTGAAAACAAGGGTTTTTATTGCACAGACCACAAATAGATATCTTATTTTATAGATATTGTGATCGAATTTATTTATTGCGTGAATGTGAATGAAACATGTGGAAATGACTGAAAATCAAATTAAGCTTCTCATCACCATATACGACCAAATACAGACAAGCTTAAATCCCATATATAACATATAATAAAGGCGAAACATTGACATACTTTAAAACGTAGAAATGTGAAAAAGTTTCGGAAAAAAGAAAGTGTGATTTCTAATATTTTTTGTGATATCTGCTGTGTATTTTGAGTTAGTATTTACATTGAGTGACTGTAAATCGAATCAATTGAAATCAAACCAAAAAAGCTATTAAAGAAGTGATTTTTTACCCCTGATTTTCCACAAAATCGACCCCCTCCACTTAATCCTAAAACGTACGAGCCCTTATTAAAATCTTATTCGGAAAAAAGGCAGAATGCTTCTTCCGAGTCGGTACGACTATCTTTTGATTTCTTATTTACAAAGATGGGGGGTGGAATATCTAGTACATCCTTTGAATTTAGGAGGGACGGAGCTGAGGATTACTCTTATCGGATGGGAAACACCGCCCCCCGTTACCTTTTCAGCAAAATCTCTCCCGGTAATATAACAAGCAAAAATGTTCTTCTGCACTCATATTCTCCCTTTTTCTCGCAGTAAAATTATTGGATGCGAATAAACAACTGATATTTTAAACTCATCCTGGGCCAATAATTTTACCCAAAGGAATTTTTTTTATACATAAGGGCTGACAGCGAACGAATTAAACTAATCATTCATTTTATATTATACAGCAAACGGCGGTCGTTTAGGAAGTAGGTCATTTGAATAGAAAATTAGAAAAAAGGAGCTAGAATTGTTATTCAACCCTTTTAAAAGTAAATAAATATCAAACCATCTAAAATATTTGATTATATATTATATACATTCAAACATTTTTTCCAGACGTCTAGAAGGATTGTAGGAATTGTGCGCCAGAGCCAAGTCAATGACAGGAGGATTATCGTGGATGGAAAGAGTCAATGATTGTTAAGTCATGAATAGAAATTCTATTAATTAATTTTTATATAAGGCATGGGCTGTGATAAAAAAAGTCAGTGTCAAGAGCGGGATTCGAACCCACGACCTTCGGCTAGATACGCCGCTGCCTCTACCACTTGAGCTATCGTGACGTCATCTACTCGGACACCAAATTACCATCTTAACCTCATCTTTTGAATTTTCCCTCCTTTTTGCCATTTTTTCCATTTTTCAAATGTCGTGTAATCTATTTGATTCTCAATTGTCGCCGAGGCGTATCCTGCCGAAGGTCGTGGGTTCGTATCTCGCTCGTGACACTGACTTTTTATCCCAGCTAAAAACCTTAATTAATTGAAAGATAATATTTATAGTTGAGACGGTTGAAGATAAAGAAGCTTCCTGTTCTCCTTCATTTTTCTAAAGTCTTTGACACTATAAACCATTATTTTCTTCTTTCTTAAATCAATTCACTTTTCTTCTCTGTGTTTTTCCTTTGTTTCATTTATTCTTCCAAGGAAGATTATTTTTTCTGATATTCGGTACGTTTAATATTTGCTAATTTTTCCTCTCTTATTGTAATCTAATGTAAATGTAGTGTAATCTATTTGATTCTCAGCGACAAAATGGCCACGGAGAGCTTTCGTGAAGATATACTTCAATTTACTTATTAAATTCATTAGAGTTCGTGGTCCGATTGACTGAATAACGTTTTTCAATTAATTAGTCACACTGACTTTTTTATCTCAACCATTGCCTTATATAAAGATTAATTAATTGAAAAACGTTATTCGGGCTATCGGACCACGAACTCAAACAATCTTGAAATTTGTAGAAAATTTTAACCTTTACTTATAAATTTAATACGTCAATTTGACCGAGAAAAAAAAATTAAAACAATTAAAAATTGAAAAGTAAAAAATATACATAAAACAGTAAACAAAAAAATAAAAATAAAATGAAAAAAGGAAGGAATACACATAAATAATTACGTTCTCTCAATAGTATAATACACTGACAGGCAAAAAATTCCGCCCACATGTAATATAACTTGATTTGTACATATTTTTATATATTATTCAAAGTTCCATGTTTTAATAATTGAGTCTTTGTCTAAAAAAGTAAAACAAAATATCAATTGTTAAAGAAAATATAAAGAAAAAAGACGGACAGATAAAATTTGTGTAATTTTGTTTTCGATCTTTAATTAAAATTTCAATATCGCGTATTTTCTCTTCTTGCCTTAATTACATCTCGAAGACGTCTCGGTACACTTTCTTCCAGTCTGGAAATGTCTCTTTGCTGGAGGTTAGCCCATTCTTCACGAAGAGTCCTTTCAAGACCGTGGAGTGTATCAGGAAGTGATGGACGAACTTTTTTATTTTATTTTTTATTATTCGTCTTTTGATGTTAATTGTTCGATGGGGTTGAATCTGGAGAACGGGCCGGCCAGGCTAAGGCTCTGATGTTATGCTTGTGAAGGTACTTTTGTACTATGGGACCGACATGTAGTCGGGCATTATCGTGCATTAGAATAGGAATGTCGCTGATTTCATCGAGGATAGGCAACGCATGATATTCCAAAATTTCATCACATAGCGAGTGGCCGTCAAAACCCTCCACGAACAACAACCAACAGTGTACAACTTTCCATTGAAATAACCTCTCACACCATCACTGAGCTAGGTTGAAAAGGATGGCTCTGGGAAAAATTACAGGCTTCGTATCTTTCATTTCGCCTTCTCCACACTCTTTCACGCCCTTCTGGCGATCGTTGAGCAAATCTACACTCATCTGTAATAAGTACAGCAGACCCATCGTACAATGACCAATGGCTGTGTTCTCGGGCAAATGCGAGCCGTGCAACCCTGTGTGTCCTGATCGATTCTGGTCCTCTTACAAGGCGAGAAGCCATCAGTCCATACTGATTTAATCTTCTTAGAGCAGTGTGTTCTGAAATTTGGACACCTCGAACTTCCTGGAACTGATGAATCGCTTGAACAACAGTAAGGTGTCGGTTTCGCAAAATGCTCAAAGTAAAAAAACGGTCATCCTGTGGTTCTGTTACCCTAGGGCGTACAGAACCGGGCCTTCTATGGTAGGACCCAGGGAACTACGATGGCAACAGCTCCATACCTGATGAAACGACCATCATCAATAGTGCCACAACACGCGCAACATCTTCAGTAATAAATGACATTTTTAATTTTAAAAATTGAAATTAAGAAAACAAAGATGAAAACCAAACAGTTGTTACTTCAAAATTCAAATGAGACTTAATAAACATTTTAAATTCCGTATAAAGTAAACATTGAAAAATCTTTTATCCTTGTTTTGGATTATGGATTAAGTGTTTTCACCTCTAATTGATATTCCCAATTTAAAACACAGCATAATCAAATATTTTTTGGTAAAAACAATAAGATATATTAAGGGTAGAATTTTTTTTATCAAGAAAAAAATCATTGGGTGAAATTTTTTGCCTGTGAGTGTAGTTTCTCATATTAAGCGCCTGCTCCGTATCTCCACTGACGTCCTTCTCTTTCACCAGGGGCGCGTTTTGGGCCTGAGACGGCTCTCTGGGCGATGTTGAGCCCCTGATCGTTGTTGACATCGGTAAAATATTGTCTATAATAAAAGTATACATGTGTTATCATCGAGACCAGCCTCGTGACCCCGGACCTGCATGAGGGGGTGTGGTTAGGAAGAGTATGGGGATAGAAAAGAGAAGTGGACTAGTAGGGAAAGCTAAGACATAAAAAATTTTTAAGTGTAGTTAATAAGGTTGAGATGCTGGACTCTGTTGAAATAAGTCGATTTGGAAG